AATATATAATGGCTGGCCTCATTGACATATCACATTTTTGTGGATGCATTCATGAATATATATATATATATATATATAAAAATATATATATATATATTTAAAAAATATATGTATAAAATAATTGTATAATATAAGTTAAATTAATAATATATAAAGGATAATATATATAACTATATAATAAAAATAGTAATAATATATAATGGCTGGCCTCATTGACATATCACACACCACTCCTCTCCACCAACTGTAAAATCGTTGACTCTTTTTGTTTGCTTCATTTCAACTTCCTTATACATATTACAACCACCCAATTTCAACTTCGTCAGACACTCACAGAGAAGCTTCAAACATGGAAGAAAGAAAAGGAATAGAAGATGGAAAGATTAACAAGTATTCTATTGCTTCTGCCATTGTTGCTTCTATGATCTCCATCATCTTTGGTTATGGTACTCTCTCTCTCTCTCTCTCTCTCTCTCTCTATATATATATATGTACTTGTATATCTCAAAGAAAGAAAGAAACAAAGGCTTTTTGTAACAAAAACTGTGTAATATTAATCTATTTGTGTTAATCTGTTTAACAGAGACGGGTGTTATGAGCGGAGCGTTGATCTTCATCAAAGAAGACCTTAAAATCACCGAATTACAAGTCGAAGTCCTTGCCGGCATCATCAACTTCTGTGCCTTAATTGGCGCTTTGACTGCCGGTAGAACGGCCGACTACATCGGCCGCCGTTACACCATAACCCTAGCTTCCATTATCTTCCTTTCGGGATCCTTACTAATGGGCTTTGCACCAAACTTTGCAATCCTCCTTACAGGCCGTTGTGTGGCCGGAATCGGAGTAGGGTTTGCCCTTGTGATCGCTCCGGTTTACTCGGTCGAGATTTCCGCCGCCAGCACCCGTGGTTTCCTAGCTTCATTACCTGAAATTGGAATTAGTCTCGGCATTTTATCCGGTTATATCTCAAGCTACATTTTCGGACAATTACCCCTGAACGTCGGTTGGAGGGTCATGTTTGCGGTTGCAGCTATCCCTTCTCTAGGGTTAGCTTTTGGCATTCTTGGAATGCCAGAGTCCCCGAGATGGCTCGTCATGCAAGGCCGTCTCAAGGACGCCAGAAACGTCTTGTYAAAAGTGTCAAACACCAAAATACAAGGTGAATCCCGGCTGCAAGACATCAAACTTGCAGCAGGGATAGATCCTGGCTGTAAYGACGATTACGTTACGCTCAGTCAAAACACGCATGGCCAAGGCGTATGGAAAGAATTACTACTGAGACCAACCCCACCGGTCCGATGGATGTTACTAGCAGCCCTCGGGATCCATTTCTTCGAGCATGCAACTGGGATTGAAGCTGTGGTCTTGTATAGCCCACGGATCTTCAAAAAAGCTGGTGTTAGAAGCAAGAACAAGCTCTTGTTAGCAACCATCGGAGTCGGAATCACGAAGACCGTATTCATATTAGTCTCCACTTTCTTGATCGATAAAAGCGGAAGGCGAAAACTTCTATTAACAAGTGTTGGAGGGATGATAGTTGCGCTATTAGGGTTAGGGTTTGCTTTGACCATAGTGCACCAGTCTCCTGACCAAAGGGTAGTTTGGGCACTTTTGGTTAAGTATAGCTACATGTTATCTGTACGTAATGTTTTTTTCACTAGGGCTAGCACCAGTMACATGGGTTTATAGTTCAGAGATATTTCCCTTGAAGCTAAGGGCACAAGGGGCAAGCATTGGGGTGGCTGTGAACAGGGTTACAAATGCAACTGTGTCAATGACATTTTTGTCCCTGATCAATGCCATCACCATTGGAGGAGCATTCTTCATGTTTGCTGGTATATCTGTTTTGGCTTGGATCTTCTTCTTCTTTTTCTTGCCAGAAACCAAAGGGAAGTCACTTGAAGAGATGGAACAAGTTTTCACGAGGACCAAGAAATCAAGAAACGTAGATATGGAGTTGCAGACCAAAAACGATGGTGTTCGAGTGTCATAATCCCAGAAGAAGGGTAAAATCGTAATTTTCCATGATGGTGTTTATATGCTTGTCATTTTCGTCCTTTCTGTATACTACACTTAATTATAAGTGAAAAGAAAATTATCAAGTGCCGTATCAATGATTATGAATATGACATATTCTTGAAATAATGTATAGAAGAATTATTTATATAGGGTCGAATTAAATAAAAATCATAAGAAAGATTATAGACATTACAACAAAATCGGATTTATAGGACATTCTTAATTTCTAAGTGTTTTAATAGACTTTTTTATAAGACTTAGTTTATAGGACCAAAAAAATAAAGTGTCATATCTAAATGTGTTGTAATAAATTTATATGACGTTTTTCGACGTTGTAAACTCGTTATAAGTTTTTTAGGACACTTTTAATATAGAGCGTCTCATTAACAGYTTTATGGGACACTATTAGAAAAAATGTCCTATAAAAACAAATGTCCTATAAAAAATTGAGTTTATAGGACACTTCCTCAAAAGTCCTATAAAGTTGTTAATGCGACACTTTGTGTAAAAAAATGTCATAAAAACTTGTTAAGACGCACAAAAGMGTCATATAAACTTATTACAACCCCTTTAAATATGACGCTTTATATTTTGGTTCTATAAATTAAGTCCGATAAAGCGGTCTATTGAGACACTTAGAGATTGGGGGTGTTCTATAAATCCTAGTGAGATTTGTGAGAATTGATTTAAATATTTTTTTAGTTAAATGTTAGAATTTAAAATATTCTTTCACATATTTGTTTTTCAGTATGATAGTTTTACATTAATTTATTTTATCATGTGAAATTTTTTTACTATATTTTTTGTTTCACATGTAATTTTTTTACAAAGTAAATATAAAAATATGTGAAATAATAACTTATTTATCATAGTTTTTGATGAAAAAAAGTCGTAGAAAATATATCTTTACGTCGGTTCTCACAGGTTATAACATTTTTATAATTCTTAGTTGATTATCATACTATTTATGTATGTGTAGCTAGGGGTGCTCATGGGTTGGGTTGGGTTGATCGGGTTGAAAACATTTGAATAATCCAATCCAATGCTTACGGTTTAGAAAATCTTAACCCAACCCAAACCAAAGTACAATCCAACCCAACCCGTACGGGTTGGTCGGCGGATTTTTTTTTGGTATATTAAAATATTCTTTTAACCTTGAATATTTTATTTCTCTACTCATAATTTCTTTTTCATCATCAACCATTTGATACAACTTATCCATATTTATTACGTATATCACATTCAGTTAATTTTCTCAATTTACATATATATGTTCACAGTTATTGAACATATATACGAATAAATATATAGAGATGTGAATAGATTGAAAATATGTGTATATGAAAAGCAAACATGATAGTGTAATTGTCTAATGTATATATCTATACTATATTATAAAGCATTTGACAAAAACTCTTAAAAACCATTTTTTATGCGTAAAATACTGTTTATTAATACATATTATTTAAAACTCAAGATTGCAAGTAGATTGTGTGTAAGTACAACTTATTAAAACTCCTTATCTGAATTCGTGTAACTAACTGTACATAAACATAATTAAATACAGGATAAACATCTCATTTTGAATATAAAAAATCTAAATTATCAATTAAGATAATCATTGAGTTCTAACAGAATTTTAATTATTATCTTTATAAAAAAWTATATTATTAAACCAATTATTATTAAATCTAAATTAACGTATAATAAAAAATTGAATTAAAGAAAATTACAAAGAAAAAAAAAGAATTATCAAATAGTTAGTCTGATACTAATATCGATTTGTTTTTCAAATTTTTATGTCATCTTCAAATTCATATTTCATTAAAAAATAAAAAACATCATTTTTTTTTTCGTAAAACCACATAAAATCATATTATATCAATAAAGAAAAATAAAAACTAAACATTAAAATGGAGATTTATCTCGCTGCATTATGCGAGTACCCTTTTAGTGTAAAAAAATTAAAATCCGATTTTTATGTAATTTTTTTGAAGTTATTTTTAAAGAATACAAAAGTTCATTTAAATACACTTAAAAATATGTAATTGAGTCAATTAAATACACTAAAAAAACACGTTTTTTTTTTGCAAAAATTGTAAGCGTCTATGAGTTAGTATCTTCTTCCATACACCAAATGATATATATATATATATATATATATATATATATATATTAAGTACAGAAAAATTTGCAATTAGTTTTTAATCAAATGCATTTAAAAAGTTAGAAAATATTTGAAAATAAATCTAAAAAAACATTTTTAATATAAAAAATTTTATACTTGTATTTCTTGTTTTTAATTTAACAAACAAAACATAAATAAGTAAAACAATTTATTGTTAAACCGACTCAAAAGTAAGCTTTGGTTTTAGTTTTTTARAATTTAGAATTWAAAAAAAAATAGAAATAGAAGAAATAATTGGGTTTAAAACACAAGGCCCATCTCTTTTTCCTCATTTCAAAACCTGGTCATTCGAGAGAGATAGAGAGAAAGAGAACGGGTTTGAAGAACAGCAGAAGGAGAGCATTTTCGATTTGGGGATCTGGTACGTAATTCCTCTTTATTTTTACAGGTTTTAATTCAGATGTGATTCAGAAACATTTTGATTTTTGATCTAGATCTCGTATTTAATTCACAATTATGTGGTCTTTCTTGTTCTTCATTCACGACATTTTGGTTTTTGATCTAGATCTCGTMTTTAATTCACAATTATGTGCTGTTTCTTGTTTTTGATTCACGACATTCCGGTTTTTGTTCGTATTTAATTCTGTTTCTTGGTATTTAATTCACAATTGCGTGGTCTTTCTCGTTTTTAATTCACGATTGTGTGTTCTTTCTTCTGATTCAGAAACATTTTGGATCTCGTATGTATTCCGATTCCCTTGTGGGTTTTCAATTTTTTTTTTTTGTATTTGTGTTCCGATTCATTTTTCTCAGAGTTGCTCCGTGTTTGCTTTTATGATTCATGGTTCAATATGAATGGAAACTCCATCGTTAATCATTTCACGTTTGTTCTTCCAATTTCTGTTGCTAATTTGTGTTTAGGGTTTTTGCRGATCCCCAAATCCAACCAAATAAATGTTAAGTATCCAAACTATTTTTGTAAGTATTCTTTCTTATTCATCTTGCTTTCCATACTATTTTCTGATTCATCTGATCGAAATTAAGGATCAAAATCTTTTCTTATTCAATCATCCTCTTCTTCATAATCTGAATCTTGTTTTCATTACATCTTGCTTTCTATAATTTGATGATGGGGTTTAATTTTTCATCTGATCGAAATTAAGGATCAAAATCTTTTCTTATTCAATCATCCTCTTCTTCATAATCTGAATCTTGTTTTCATTACATCTTGCTTTTTCTATAATTTGATGATGGGGTTTAATTTTGTTTAAAAAARCATTTTTTAATATTTACTTATTATTATTTTAAAACTYAGTTATTATAGTATCTCATTATTTTTTGTAACTAACAGATACTATTATTTAATTTGACAAAAATAATTTAATTTTAAATATTATATTAAAT